ATCATCGTGATATAAGTGAAATATTGTCAGATATGACAACAGTTAACCAGGAAAATCTACTGAAATAAAACTTAATTCAGTTGTCAAGGGGTACAAACATAGGATTAAGCCCTTCCATTTTAAATTACCTGATCCCCAAACAACTGTCATAAACTCAAAAATAAAAATTGCTTTGTACCTGTTAAACTGTCATCCTCTGAATCTCTCTATTCTTCAAAAGACACCATTTGTCATAACTACATGCCTGAAAATAGAAAGAATAGTTTTGCACTACAACAATTTCGATGAAAACATAAAAGAATACATATTCACGAGTTTAGAAGATGCCCCGTTTCTGAGAATCTGTTCTCTCTGAACATGAAAATGATGCTAATTTGCAAAATCCAAAGTATGGATGTATTTGTACATAGTCGAATCCCGCGTAAATGGGGATCTGGGAAGAGTAGACTTGTGACGTCACTTCGAGAAGACGCTCAAGAAATTCTCGGCCAGTTGTCGACCTGCGAAAGCCTTTCTAGGACTAGATTCATTCTGCGGCATATTTGCGACCAATATCGATCTAACCTTCCAAACATAACCAATAAACTGTGCAAAATGGAGCGAAATACAGACTGTTGGGTTCTCGAAGTGAGTTACATTAGTCGCCAGACTCTTGATTCTTGAAACGCGGTCAGCGAGTGAACACTAGCAAGGAAAATGTCTGTATTTACCTTGCTGGTGTTCATTCGCTGACTGCCTGTCGCATGAAAAGAGAATCTGGTGTCATATAATACCTCCCTTAAGAGTTAAAGTGCACCTAATCCCTAAATTTTTTTTTCGTTTAAAAAAACCTTCATGCTTTGGTAAGTATCTCTTGGAAAAAATTTTGGATTTGGTCAAATCCTTAATTTTTTTGCCCCGTTGAAGTACAGAAAATCGCATTAAAATCACCGCCATTTTGACTCACGACCGCGTTTCAAGGATCAAGAGTCTGGCGTCTAATGTAACTCACTTCGAGAAGCTAATAATCTGTACTTCGCGCCATTTTGCACAGTTTACTGGCTATTCTTGGAAGGTTAGATCGATATTGGTCGCAAATATGCCGCAGAATGAATCTAGTGCTAGAAAGGCTTTCGCAGGTCGACGACTGGCTGATAATTTCTTGAGCGTCTTCTCGAAGTGACGTCATAAGTCTACTCTGCCTAGATCCCCATTTACGCGGTCGTGGTCCATTCGGATCTGGACTTCAACAGGGCATAAAAAACTGAGGATTTAACCAAATCCAACAATTTTTTCGAAGAAATACTCACCAAAGCAGGAAGATTTTTAAATGAAAAAAAAAATGTAGGGGTCAGGTGCACTTTAAATCTCTAGGTTATCAACGATCACAACTTTTTTATGGTTGAATCAGTTGCATTGGTATCTACTCTGTGAGAGCAATGTACACATGTTCATCAAAGGAGGGAGAGGTAAAGCTAAAAACATTCAATTTCAATATAGTGGCCTTTTTGCATATTTTTTTTACAATTTTCCGATTTTTGATTATAATACACCACATATTACTTCGCTTACTTCCTTACCTACAGAGTGCCGCAATTAAACTCCAGTGAAGCTCTTTTCCAAGTAGGATACTTGACTTCTCGTCATAACTAAAGAAAAAAGAGATTAAAATCGTTTCCGCTCAAGTTATTTAAGAGTTTTGTTATCTGTGTATGTGCGTAGAGACCCTCAGTGTATCTTAGAGGAGTTTTTATGATTTTATGAATAAATTGTTACTGGGCCAGTTGTAAGCTGGAACCGTGAAGAACAAATATGAGTCCCTCTCTCTCGTTGATCCTCTCCCCCCCCCCCCACCTT